GATAGCCGCCAGCACTTGCCAGATGACTCTCAACAGCCGTTCCCGCCCATGTGTTTTTGATAGTATTAGCCGCGGGGTCGATCTGAGATCAAGATACGGAGCAGCAAGATCGAAGATGGGGGGAACATGTTTGAATTCTAACGAAATGTTGAATTTCGGAAACTGATTTTTAAAAGTCAAGAGTTTTGGATTTTTTTATCAGAAGCTTTGGGGCCAACTAGCCACTAGCGCGCCGGAATTTCTCTTAAGCGTTGTGGCTTCGCTTTTAGGGGAGCTTTCCATGTTTACATAATTTAAGACCTTTCAATGCTCATTCTGGCGAACTCTCTGCTCGTCTGCCTCTTTTTGCTTCTTCTCCCCATTTAGTTTGCATTGTTGAACTTTGGCTCGGCGCTTCCATGTGCGCTCCGTCGCTAACCGGATGCAGAATTCTCGCGCGGTGCGACAGCAGTCAGCAAGCAGGAGGTGTAGCCATTTTTGCGCTTGACTCCATAATTTTTGTGTGTTCTCCTTTACCTAATTCTCCTTCGGCCCATAGTGCGTTGCGCTTCTGGCCCAGTGGCCATTGGCTGCACTTATCGCCACCCTTGTTACGGGGAAGTTGATTCCCTATCTGCTTTAGCTTCTGAGTGTAATAATTTGTATGATCAGTGCGTTGGTTGCATTTCGCTTGGAGATTCTAATTTGCATCACCTTCACTGGCTGCGTTTCAGCCATTCTGTAACCGCGGATGGAACCTTTTTGAAGAATTGGTCAAGCGAGCATGGGTTACCCCATCGAGTGCGGACTCCAACTCGTGGTGCCTTTTTCCTTGATTAAATTTTTACTGATTTGCCAAACCTTTTGACTGTCGAAGTAGTATCTGAAATTGCTGACCATCGTGGCTTGTCGATTCGTTTTTCCTCCCCGCCTCTCCCTTTGGAATCCTTCTCCCGAGAAGTTTGGCAATGCGGCGGCGCCAGCTGGTCTTCTTTGAAGCGTTCTATTGCGCAGCATGATTGGGGATGAATTTCTCAGCTGTCAGTAGACGATGTAACGCGACGTTTCACTGTTGTTATTTTAAGTTTTACGCGTCCTTTTGTCCCCCGTTCATTCGTTTCGTTCCGCCCTTCCCATTTTTGGCGGACAGAGGAATGTGCACGTTTAGTTCGAGAGAAAGTTGGCAGTGCTGGAACTGAGTTTTATCCAGCTGCTTGCCGTCGTTGTAGCGACGGCTTGCTTGCTGCCCACTAGGCTTACGTCGTGCGCGCCCGGGCGAAGATCAGACGATTGCGCCGCGGAAGCAAGCAATAGTGGAAAGTATCCGATTCCTTGCTTAGTCGTTCCCCCTGTTCCAGCGGATCTCTTTCGAAACGCTTCAACGGAGCTTGGGCTATCAGCACTGCCGAGAAAGCAGAGCTCCTTGCCGCGAGTTTTTCAAGCAAGTGGAGCTTGCCGCCGGCAGAGGCCAATGAATTCGCAGTTTTTTCTTCACGCTTAATTGAGGAGGACGATGCTTCATTCTTGCGTGTCCGGCTGCGTTGTGCTCGCGCTGCTCTGTCTGACTTACGAAGCGACAGTTCCACTGGTCCTGACCTCCTCCCCTCTCGTGTTTTCAAAGCCTGCAGCCGCGAGTTAGCTTTGCCCTTCTGTCTTTTAGTGCGACAAATAGTTGGCCAGGCGCACTGGCCCCCTTGTTGGTGTGAGCACTGGATTTTCCCGCTCCACAAGCGCCAAGCGCTTTCCGACCCGGATAATTATCGTGGACCCCACCTCAATTCGCAGCTCTCGAAGGCGGCAGAGAGACTGATTCGTGATCTGTTTGTTCCACGTCTGGAACGTCTCGGCGCTTTTGGGCCGGCGCAGTTTGCGTGCAGACAGGGGCGCGGGGCTCGCGATGCAGTTCTTTATTTTCTTTTGTCTTGGCTTCGCTCCTTCTCTCTCGGCCTCCGCGTTATCCTCGATTGTTCTGATGTGTCTGGAGCTGTCGACCGCGTCTCCGCTGACATTCCTTGCGCGAAGCTCGCCTCTGCTGGAGTGGCGCCGCGCCTTGTCTCTCTTCTTGCAAGTTGGCTCCGGCAGAGAATGGCGCGCGTCGTCGTCGGTGGTCAACTGTCCCGTCCGATCACTATGGAAGACGTGGTGTACCAGGGGGCAATTTTCGGACCGCCTCTGTGGAACACTTTTCTTGCAGACTCTTGCATGGCAACCCGGGCCGAGGCTTTCGAATAAGTGATTTATGCTGATGATTTAAATGCATGGCGTTCTCTGGCTGCTGATGTCAAGCTTCGCTCCACGCTTGGGGTAGTGCAAACCGTGTGCAGTTTGATGCGCGCAAGGAAAGCCTGCACGTGCTTTCTCGCGCGCGCCCTGTCGGCGATCATTTCAAGATCTTGGGTATTCTTTTCGACCCAGAACTTTTAATGCACAGCGCCGTGGACGACTGCGTTTCCGCTTGTTCGTGGAAAGTGCTCAGGCTAATCCGTACTCGGAGTTTCCACGCAGATGCTGAGCTCATTGGTCTTTTCAAAGCTCACATCTTGTCGTACATTGAATATCGCACGGCTGCTGTCTACCGCGCCTCTCCTTCTGTCCTCTCTCCTTTGGACGCGGCTTTCATCATATTTTTACGTAGTTTGAGTATTTCGAGCACGGACGCTTTGTTCCACTTTAACCTTGCCCCTCTCTCGACACGCCGGGACATTAGTATTCTTGGGGTAATTCACCGTGCTGTTCTGGGTGTTGGCCCCAGCTGTTTTCGGAAGTTTTTCGTTATCGACACGCGTCCTGCGCCGGCTAGAGCTCCGAGGCGCCAGAGGCACCACCTTGTCGAGCCCCCGTGCTGCGCTCCGGACTTTTTGTTGCACTCGGCAATAGGCGCTGTGCGCATTTACAATTTCCTGCCGGACTTCGTCGTGGCAGCGCGCAGCGTCTCCGAGTTTCAATCCCGTCTGCAGGCCCTCGTGCGTTCCAGGGCAAATCACTTTGAAGACTGGCCAGGAACTCTCTCGCCGCGCCTTCCGCTTGCTTTCCATCCTCTCCGTGGGTGTCGAAACTGGAGCGGGTAATTTCTTTTTCGCCCTGTCTCTGCCTTCTCTTTCCTGTTCCTCTTCTCCCCCCTCCCCTTCTGTCTCCTCTCCTGTGCGCGAATATTTTTGGAGCAACCTTCGCATTATTTTTTGAGCGTTTCGCCATTCTTGCATCCTGCAATCTTTGACTTGCTCTGGGCACTGACTTGACTTGGTGACTCGGTGAGAGAATCCGCGTTGCGAGCTTCAAAAAAAAGTAGGGCCAGTTCCAGGTGCACGACCAGGATTGCCATCGAAATGGTTTATCCTGGAAGTCGCATGCAGGCTTCCTTGGGGCATGCGCTGGCGCTGTTCCCTGGAAGAGCGCCAGCGAGTCCCTCGCACCCAAGTTTTACTTTCCCCGACCCATCCCCAGGGGTGCAGTGAAGACGGTTGCAATACTGACCGCTTTAGGATCAGGAGCGGCGCGGGTTGTTCGGCCCGTTCCGTAGAGTTGTGTCAAGCAGCGAATGAAATTCGCTAGCACATCAATGTGTGGGCACCATTTTAACTGGAGATATGAAAGTCCACCATACACAATGTATTACTTTCAGTAGTCATTTTTCCCCTGAGGGCACGCGTCTGGATCCCTCCTCCACCTCTCTCCCTGTTTTTCTCCTCTCCTCCTCTCCTCCGCTATTCAATAACTTTCAGTAGTCATGTTTTTCCTGGGCCCCCTCCCCTCCTCCTCCTTCTCTCCTTCTCCGTTTCCAAGGATCTGGTTTCTGTGTCCCACCTGAGTGCATCGGCTGCTTGAGATTCCATGACCAGGGACTCTGTGCCCTCCCTGTGCCCATCGGCTGTTTCGAAAGGATCTGGGACTCTGTGTCCTACCTGTGCCCATCGGCTGAGCGTGATTCGAGGATCTGGGACGCTGTGTCCCCCCTGTACCCCTCGGCTGGACATGATTCAAGGATCTGGGACTCCTTTCTCCCCCCGTTCCTACCTGCGACGCACTGGTGCGCCAGCGACGTGCGCGACGCGCCCGCGCTGGGGCCTCGGGTCTTACTTGTGCGTATTGGGACGTGTCCCCACGCGGGCACCTCGGTGCGCGCGCTCCGGCTGGCGTGGGACGCTGGCCTCTCTCCTGCCTGCCCGCTTTTTCCTTCCCCGCTCGCTCTCCCCCCCCCATGGCGGCGGCGCCAGGCGCAGCGCGGCTCGGGCCCGGTGCTGGCACTGCACTTTGCCGCCTCGGCGGCCCCGCTCATCCTGGGCAGCGCGGCTCCGGCCCGGCCCGCGGCAGGCGGGCGCGGTCGGCCTTCATGCCGAACCTCGTGGCTGCTACCTGGACGTGGATTGGACTACCACCCCAGGCCGCTACTGACCACCCGGTGGCACAACGTTGCACATCGACTTCGTGGTCTCCCGCATCTCCTGGGCCTCTCCTTACCAGTTGGTGGCACTTGGTGCACTTCGCCTTCCTGGTCTTCCTCAACCTCGCGGACGTTGACTTGCTCGCGGCCCTCGAGCACAGCGCTGGAGGATGGTGTTCTTGGCGCGCCGATTACCTCATCGCCAATCCACTCTCCCTCTGGGACTTCGCTCCCTGCTCCAGTCCACGGCGTACCTTGTCCTGTGCAAGATCTTCGGCACCGCCTGTGCTCTGAGCCCTCCGGCCGCCTGAGGCCCCGCCCACCCGCGCCCTGTCTCCCCAATCACCGCTACCCGCGCCCCGTTTAGCTCTTGACCGGGAGGGGCGTCGACGCCGTCGCCACTTCGCTCTCCCTCCAGGACTTCGCCTCGGGCTCCTGTCCAAGGCGTACCTTTTCCCGTGCAAGTTCTTCAGCGCCGCTTGCACCCCGCGCCCTCCGGCCGCCTGAGGCCCCGCCCGCCCGCGCCCTATCTCCTCAATTAGTGCTTTGCGCGGCCGGCCTAGCTCCTGGCCGGAAGAGGCTCGCTCTCGACCCGCAGACCAAAAAAAGCTTGGACAATTGGTGCCGGGAGAGCGGCAGCCTCTGCGTAGGCGTCGGCGCCGGTTCTGCTGCGCCGCTCGACACCTGGAAATGTGGGAGCCAGCGCAAAGGAGACGGCATGGCCGCCCGACTCGTCCATGACGGAGTCTACTTCGACATGGGTTTTGTCCGGGCTCAGCGCCTGCGCCACGATGCCTTTCGTCGCGTTCAAGAGTCGGCGATCATTTCAGTTTCGTGATCTGAGGCTTCATGACACCGGCCATCGACGTTAACTGGATTGCTTTTTCGAATTGTGCTCCGCCAGGAGCTCACCGAAGCATTCGTTCAACTCGCGGATGGACACGAAGGATTTTTTAGTAATGAAAAATCGCCTCGGCAAGCGACGTTTCTCACCGCGCGTGAACTGGTTTGGAACCAGGGTTTCTCTTGACCCAGACTTGCCCTTGGGCCAGATTGCTTTATGCCGAACCATTTTAATCGGATGTGTTGTTACATTGAGTTCGCGGCGACATTTTTTTGCTTGTTGTTTTTATCTCTCTTCTTCCCCTCTCTCTCTGAGTCTCTCTCTGACAGTGATATTTCTCATTTTAGTTGCGTCCATTTTTTTTGTCAGTTCTTATCTCAGTCAGTTTTCAGTTACTTTGGATAGTGTATATCAGGTTAGTCATATAAGTTTTGTTCATCACAATGAAGGCATGCTTGAGATGTCGGTAAAAAAGGAGATTCACTGCATTAATTTGCATGAATACGTGTCTCTTGTAGGTGTTTGTGACATCTAATTTCCACAGCGCAAATCAATGCGTATCCATTTGGTTTTGTGGTTTTGTTGAAGTACAGGTAAACGATTTTTTGTTTCCCCGAGTTGTGCGGACACAGTGCTTCCGTCACGGTTCGAGGTGCGGTCGGGTGAGCACGAGGTTTACGTTGTTAAGATTTCCGTGGAGAGTGCGATCGTCGTTTGGCTGGGTCGAGTGACGGCGATTTTAGATTTCTCGAGCCCTTCGATGGTTTTCTTTCAGAAGTCGTTAGGTTTTGTAGGTTTGTCAAGTCGTTTTGTCACGTTCCAATTTTGTAGTTGCGCCAATTTCCAATCTTATTGGGGTTGCGCTTTCCTCGTTGTAGATTCGCCCAGTAATTTTCCACGCGCTCGTAACAAAACAAGCAACGCCACGCTGATAGTTTGAAACAATGCGGAACGCCGGGGGGGGGGGACCCACCGCGAGCTATTTCTAAGCTCCCGGGTCTTGCCAACGCAGCATGGCTGGCCCGGCAGAAAGCCGAAGAGAGAGAAAGAGAGATAGAGAGAGAGAGAGAGAGAGAGAGAGAGAGAGAGAGAGAGAGAGAGAGAGAGAGAGAGAGAGAGAGAGAGAGAGAGAGAGAGAGAGAGAGAGAGAGAGAGAGAGAGAGAGAGAGAGAGAGAGAGAGAGAGAGAGAGAGAGAGAGAGAGAGAGAGAGAGAGAGAGAGAGAGGAGAGAGAGAGAGAGAGAGAGAGAGAGAGAGAGAGAGAGAGAGAGAGAGAGAGAGAGAGAGAGAGAGAGAGAGAGAGAGAGAGAGAGAGAGAGAGAGAGAGAGAGAGAGAGAGAGAGAGAGAGAGAGAGAGAAAGAGAGAGAGAGAGAGAGAGAGAGAGAGAGAGAGAGAGAGAGAGAAAGAGAGATAGAGAGAGAGAGAGAGAGAGAGAGAGAGAGAGAGAAAGAGAGAGAGAGAGAGAGAGAGAGAGGGGAGGAGAGAGACGGATAGTGAAGAGAGGGAGGAGTAGAGCAGGCAGGAAGGGGGCGAGGAAACGGAAACGCGGCCGAAGAGGGAGGGTGAGGAACGGGGGGCGACGACGGGCGACATCAACGACAGCAGCGCGCAAGAACAGAAACAGGGGGGGCGAAGGGGGGCGAGGGGGGGGGGGGCAGGGGGAGAGGGAAGACATCTACTACCATCTTTAATATCACTATTATACTACTGCTGCTATTTCTGCTGCTGCTACTATTATTATTACTACTGCTACTACTACCCTGCACTACTCCTACTACTACCTTACCATTATTATTACTACTACTACTACTATTACTTTGTCTACTATTATTTTTACGACCACTACTGTTATTGCTTCCACTACTACGACAAATACTACTACTACTATGGCTACTACTACCACTACTGGTACTGTAGTAGTAGGAATAGCAGTAGTAGTATTAGTAGTAGTGGTAGTCGTAGTAGTCGTAATAAGAGTAGTAGTGGTCGTAGTAGTCGTAGTAGTAGTAGTCGTAATACCTCTTTTCCCAACCATGCTGCTATTACAACGGCTACTACTGTTCTTAGTACGATTACGGCGAATACTTTTACTACTGCTGCTTTTACAATCAACCTAGTACTACTACTACTATACTACGACTACTACTACGGCTACTATTACTACTCGTACTAGTATTCGTACGAGTACTAGTACTACTACTGCTACTACGACTACTGCTACTACTACTACTACTACTACTACTACTACTACTACTACTAGTACTACGACTTCTACGACTAGGACTATCACTACTATTGCTATTACAACGACTGCTGCTACTACTACTCGACTATTAGTATTACTACTGATGCTATTTCCACGTCGACTATTACTGTTACCGCTGGCCAGGGCAGGGCAATTTGAATTTGCGAGTTAGTGCTTTCTGTGTCTTTGGACAACAGAAATAATTAACTCGCAAGTTCATGCTTTTCGTGTCGGTGGGCAATGCAAAAAAGACTAAATCGCATGTGGATGCTTTTCGGGTCGTTCGAAGCATGGTGCAGTATTAGCTCGCGAGTTAATTCTTTTCTTTCGGTGGATGCGCGTGCCTGAGATGAGGAGTATTAACTCACGAGTGAAGTCGCCTGTAACTCGTGATTCGGGTGTTGTCGATCTGTATATATACCGAAGGCTTCAACAGTATACTGAAAGTGTGAACAGTTTTTAGAGAACAGGTAGCCAAGTCATGCTCGAGCATACATGAAGTAAAAAAAACCAGAGTAGTCAATGTTCTGCGTTTTTTGCTATCCAAATTTTGTCCATATATTATGGCTTAAACACAGTCTGTAGGTGCACATTCGAACGTATGTAAAGTAGTCGCTATAAAATGATTAATTCAGTTTGTTTGGAAGCCGAGCTCTGGACAAAGTAACGCGTGCAAAAGTTGCAAATTGATCCTTCATGTGGGTTAATATTTCATGGAAGGCAGTTTTTTGAAGGGGAGACTAAAACAGTCGATGAGGATTTTTTCTCGTATATGCGTTGACGCACAGGCAACGGAGAGTCGAGATCATATAACGGAGGCATATGTTTCAAAGAAACGTGTTGTTCAAGAAGGTTGTTTTGGTGAAGTGTGTTTTAAATGTTGTTTCCAGCGGTTGTCTAACGCAATGATCAAGTGCAGTGGTTCGAAGGGAATCGGCGGCGATCTTGCGGTGCAGGAGTATTTGCACATTAGTTTAGAATGTGTTTTTTTGTTGGGAGTCTGCTGAAGATTCCGTGCAAGTTTCGCAGAAGGGTTCGACAAAGCTAGATGCTCATCCAGATCGGCGGCGGAAGATGGGAGGCCCAGCTAGGGCAAGAGCAATAGCCGAGTTCAATGCAGAAGGAAAGGGGTTCCATGGACTTCAAGACCCAGGCCAAAACACTGACCTGTCTCAAGGGGTCGGTACCGCTATCCCGCGACCCCCTGTCAGGTGCGTCATGTCGGCCGTGGGCGAGGAGTCCCCATCCCCCGCTGCGTGAGATGGCTGTGCCAACGGCGCTACGGAAGAAGACAGGAGAAAGGTTGTTCGCGATGGAGTGAGCTTAGCGAGCGCTGACTGCAACGCCATCTCTGCAGCTAAGACTGCAAGGAGCACCGCAGGCTTGACCTGCGCGGTAATTGCCGGAAGGCGCTGCGTTCCTCGCATGCCGCTGAGATTAAATGATGCGAGCAGTTGCCAGCACTGGGAGAAAGAAAAGGGATCGCGACCGTATAATCCATTCACGGTCATTTTCGATCGATGTGATGAGTCAAATCCGTTCGCCGCCCCGTCTAAGTGGGTCGCGGACGTGCCCAGCCCTGCCTGCGCTGCCAGACCGGTTACCAAGGCCGAGGCAGCGAACAGTGAACGGGCCATCGCCGCCTTGAAGAGGGAATGAGACTGGTTGCGCGAGATCAACAAGTGGGGCCAGGGCAAGGTAATGGAGCTGAGTCAAGTACGAATGTTGATGGGAGGTCATGCCTTCCATGTTGGCAGGCTCTTTGCTGTCCTCGTTCAAAAGAGCGCCGAACTGCCTGAGGGTCGTGCAGACATGAAGCTCATTTTTTTCATTCTTCTTCTTCTTCTACTTATTCTTCTCTCTCTCATTTAAGACATGTGTGCGTTATTTGCTGAAGAAAAACGGATCCAACGTCCTCGATGAAGACGAGAACGTAGCGCTGTTTCCAGAGCTCTCACCTTGCCCTGCGACTATGCAGGCAAGTAGGGCCGCCGATGCTGTCTGTCTTCCCGGGGCGATATACAACGGGCTGATGCGCGCCGGGCGCGGGCCTGAAAGTCGGGCCGGTATGCGCGACCCAGTGCGCCCTCTGCGACTAGCGCTACGTGGCCACCCTGGCGCCGGAGGATATTTGGAGAAGCGTTGCGAGGCGCGCGTTATATCTGAGTGATTTGAACAGATTCCGTCGTTGCGCAGTTACTACTACCACCCGGAATTCACGCTCTTCTTGATAGTGTGCGCTGATGATTTTCAGTTGGCTGTTTCTGCCGCCAGCTTGCTAAGAGGATGGGGCCTCATTTTGAGTCCTGCTAAGACCGCACCCACGGGTATCGATGTGGACCCGCCCGCCCCAGTCGGACGCTACTTGGGCCGTGGCCATAGACTCTCAGAAAGGTGGATTGACTGGCAGGGTGAACTCCCTGCCGCGCTGGATCCTTCACCCCCGAAGGTTAAGATGCCAGCGGGCGCGGCGGCCGCAAACGCCGGTTTCCATGATCCTGTTTCGGCTATGGCTGCAGTGGCGACGCTGGCGTATACCGACAGGTCTTCCCCCGTTCCGCCCCGAGAACGTGTTTGGGTACGATGCGAGGCCAA